CCGGATGAACTGTCCATTTATCACTTGGACTCGCCTAAGCTTTTGATGAACTCACTGTTTTTCAAAAAGGTACAAATATGATTTTAATTGGTGGAACACTTATTATTACTATTACAATCATTTCTGGTCTCATTTTATTTATCATTTCAGGCTTCCTGTTACATCCTTCTATCACCCTGTCTTTGTGTTTTCTTTTCTTTTTCCTTTCCAAGATAAAGTTTTTGATATATGACTTTAATTTTCATACTGTGTGTATATAATAAATGACTAAGCTAAATCAAACACATGGCGGTGAAGCTCATTCCAAGTTGGTGGTTAACAGCCAGCTGTAGTGATCCAAACACCAGTGACCCACCAGTATGGAGGAGAGAGCAGAGAGGACCAGACAGGCAGACTGCCAGACTAGCTCCATGTCTCAGCTGCCAAAACAGACAAGCTGCAAACAGAAACACACAGGAATACCCTTCTTACGGGCCCTTTTGTCTCCCCCTCCATGCATTATTTCTCTCTGTCATCCAACAGTCATTCTTTTCCTCCGCAAACTGTGGTCATTAATCTGCAAAGGGCTCAGGATGTAAAACAGCAAATGGGGGTCCTGCTAACCAGACCTGGAAAAGATACTTCTATTCCATCCTGTTCTATTTTGTTCTATTTTCTTGACCTTACGTGACCGGTCCGGTGGTTGGAATGTGTGGCGATGGGGATGGGAGGAGCGTGAGTGGAGGAGAGAGACCACATTGAGGAGCGGTCAAACTGTCAACCCCCGGGACCACAGGACTCTGGAGCAAGGCAGCGTGATTCATGGCCTATGGGTTACCTCACTGAGGGGAGACGGTCCAATTCCCGTATGAAGATACTGCTGATGTTGTTGCCAGCGGCCATGCATCAAGTTGTTCTGTCAAAGTTCTGCACCAAAAATATCCGGGATATTTCCTTTGAATGGAAATTTTTCAGAGATACATTTCCGTATGTGTGCTCTAAGTAAAGCTTTATTGTGGTAAATAATAATGGAAAATAAGACTCATCGGTTTGAAATGATAATATAAAACTTTATGTAAAATGTATATGCAAACACACACAGAGGTTCCCTGATGAGTTGCAAAAAGAGCAGGGAAGGGAAATCAAAAGAGACAATCTTTCACAGTTTGAGTGTGTCAGCCTGCTACCCTGTAAGTATCCACACTTTCTTCTTTCCACCTCATTCTAGTCAGGGGATGCTTTCTCTTTCCACCTGCCGCTTAATACCGCTCCTCGCTGCAGGACAACAGGTTAACTGGTATCCTCCCCCTCGCTGCAGACGGGGTCCACCTTGATGAAACTCCGCTTGGGGGCTCCCGTTTTGGCCGGCTACACACCCGGGGTAATGATATCCTCGGTAGTCCGGGGCCGCCGCATCTGGCTGCCTCAATCTTTCCCTGACTGCTTACTCATGCTGACCAGC